AGTACAGCTATATGATAGACTGTCCCTCCCCACAGGTACAGCTATATGATAGACTGTCCCTTTCCACAGGTACAGCTACATGATAGACTGTCCCTCCCCACAGGTATAGCTACATGATAGACTGTCCCTCCCCACAGGTACAGCTATATGATAGACGGTCCCTTTCCACAGGTACAGCTATATGATAGACTGTCCCTCCCAACAGGTACAGCTATATGATAGATCCTGTCCCTCCCCACAGGTACAGCTACATGATAGACTGTCCCTCCCAACAGGTAAAGCTACATGATAGACTGTCCCTCCCCACAGGTACAGCTATATGATAGACTGTCCCTCCCCACAGGTACAGCTATATGATAGACTGTCCCTTTCCACAGGTACAGCTATATGATAGACTGTCCCTCCCCACAGGTACAGCTATATGATAGACTGTCCCTCCCCACAGGTACAGCTATATGATAGACTGTCCCTTTCCACAGGTACAGCTATATGATAGACTGTCCCTCCCCACAGGTACAGCTATATGATAGATCCTGTCCCTCCCCACAGGTACAGCTACATGATAGACTGTCCCTCCCCACAGGTACAGCTATATGATAGACTGTCCCTTTCCACAGGTACAGCTATATGATAGACTGTCCCTCCCCACAGGTACAGCTATATGATAGACTGTCCCTCCCCACAGGTACAGCTATATGATAGACTGTCCCTCCCCACAGGTACAGCTATATGATAGACTGTCCCTCCCCACAGGTACAGCTATATGATAGACTGTCCCTCCCCACAGGTACAGCTATATGATAGACTGTCCCTCCCCACAGGTACAGCTATATGATAGACTGTCCCTCCCCACAGGTACAGCTATATGATAGACTGTCCCTCCCCACAGGTACAGCTACATGATAGACTGTCCCTCCCCACAGGTAAAGCTACATGATAGACTGTCCCTCCCCACAGGTACAGCTATATGATAGACTGTCCCTTTCCACAGGTACAGCTATATGATAGACTGTCCCTCCTCACAAGTACAGCTACATGATAGACTGTCCCTCCCCACAGGTACTCTGATGTCCCGATTAAACGTACCGGTACGTTTATTTTTTTCGGCCCGAACGTCCACCCGGTACACTCTTATTAGGGACGGTACGTTTATTAATTTTTGGGAAAAAAATTGTCCATACGTACCGCACCATCAGCAAGTGGCCGGCGGCCGCAAAATTCGGCAACACGTCACAGATAAATATTTGGTCCATGATAGCGGCATTTCCCATGAATATAATGTATATTATTTATTTTTCACCTGCTGTCCATTTTAAGTCCCAAAACGTCTGAAAAAGCAAAAATTTGCCCACAAAACCGAAGGGGAAGGCGAGTAGCTAATCGACGTAAATTAATATAGCACATGGCGGCCGCAAGCCCAATGTCAAAATCGGCAACGCGGCAGAAAAATGCCTGGTCCATTTTAGCGATATTTACCACGAAAAAACGTATGTGGTTTATTTTCCCTCTGGTGTTAGTTTTTAGGTCCCGAAACCCCTAAAAAAGTAGAAATTTGCCCACAAGACGGACGGCCGACGTGGGGAGGGCGCCTAGCGCCTGAGCAGCATGACCCGTAAAAAGTCAAAGGGCACCCATATTGCGCAATCACCGTAAAAGCGCCGATTTAGCTAATTTTAGGGCGTTTAAAATTGATACAATCACATTATCGATTTTTTAAAAAACAATGAGATGGAAACCAATCAAAATTTTATGCTGAATAATATTTTTTTTCTTCAAAAGTTTTTTTCTTCACAAGTTTTTCTTCTTCAGAATCCAGACTTTGACCAGACTAGACAATGTACCATACCAAATAATTATTATGTTGAAATGGATTTTGTTGTACATATACTCATTAAACCCCTATATTTGTACTTAATTGGGCTTGATTTTCTATCTCTTAAGTTAGTCAGATTTTCAACTCAAGTTGCAGGAGAAGGCTTAGCAAAGTGCATTTCAGAAGTGTAAAATGCAATAGCTTCTCCTACGGATTTTGTATTTCCCCAAAACAAGTACAATATATATATACTCATTAATTAAAGTGATATATACTCACTAATTAAATGTAACAGTGAAAAATTTGCCCATATATTGGTATTGAAATAAAGAGCACATTTTAGTATCATGGACACACAGTTCACCTGTCAATTTGGTCATTTTCCGGGGGGTACGTTTATTCCGGAGGGTATGTTTATTAGACTTTGAAGATTTGTCCGGGGGGTATGTTTATTCCGGGGGGTATGTTTATTAGGGACATGAGAGTACAGCTATATGATAGACTGTCCCTCCCCACAGGTATAGCTATATGATAGACTGTCCCTTTCCACAGGTACAGCTATATGATAGACTGTCCCTCCCCACAGGTACAGCTACATGATAGACTGTCCCTCCCCACAGGTACAGCTATATGATAGACTGTCCCTCCCCACAGGTACAGCTATAAGATAGACTGTCCCTTTCCACAGGTACAGCTATATGATAGACTGTCCCTCCCCACAGGTACAGCTATATGATAGACTGTCCCTTTCCACAGGTACAGCTATATGATAGACAACATCGTGTTGCTCATCACTGGGACACTCCACCAGCGACCAATCAGTGAGCTCATCACAAAATGTCATCCTCTGGGTAGTTTTGAGCAGATGGAGGCGATCCATGTTGCGGCCACGCCCGCTGAGCTGTATAACGCCATCCTCATCGACACACCTTTAGGTAAGTATTACACAGACTAGACTAGGGCTCTACATATAGCCAGCAACCGTTTTTCTGTCAGTTGCAGGAACTTTGTGATGGGTGACGGAAAAATCTTAAAAATCAATCCGTCAACCTTGATGGACAAAGCTAACAAAAATGTTGGGTTATGCATTTGTTTTGCAAATGTTCCTTGTCCCTTTCTGAGCTGGTATTATAGAAAGTTCAGGGCTCGAAATATTGGGTGCATGTGCACCTTAGTGCGCCCAATTATTTCTGTGGGTGCACCATGGCCAGTGTACCCAAATATTTTAGGTTTACGTATTTTTATGTTATTAGGCCACACCAATTTAATTTGTTGGTTCTCGGAATCGCCGCTATCAGATTTCGCAGAATGAAAAAAAAAAAAATCAATTTTACCCATAGGCTCCGCCCCAGAGGAGTTGCCAAAAAAAAATCACACCACCAAAACTGCAGTTTTATCAAGGGATGATAGGTGTCTCTCTTACCAGTTGGTCATGTGACGTGTGGGAACCAATAGAAGGGCTCTATTTTGCATAAGAGGAGGAGACAACATGGCGGTCAGTTTTGAGAGAAGAAACTTCGTCCAAGTTGCTATTAAACCTCCTTGCTTGAATGTAGGCTTCAAGAAGTAAGAAAATAATAGTGGCCGGAGATGTAGGAAAGCCACAAGTTGTGATGTTGTCAGAATTTCTGGTGTTGAAATTCTAGGGGTGGAAAAATTTGCAGAACTTGAGCTGGAACCAAAACAACTTTCTGCCGGTGGGTTTGATGTCCTTGGTTTGATGAACTAGTATCCTATGTTGTCCTTGTTATGTGATGAGCGAACCCAATCATTCTGAACTGATTTAGCTATTGAGACTGCTATTCAGACTATTTATTTTTAGTTTATACAATCCAGGATTGTAGCCCTGTCAAGATATCATCATTATCATAAATTGATAAAATCAAATACATGTAACTATTAGGTGGAAATAAGATCATGGCTATGATAGTATGAAAAGAGCAACATACAGCAGTAATTAAATATATATATAGTTTTTTGCTTTTCTGTATACTGTACCTTGTAGCTTGTACCTTTCAACACGAGAGCCCCCGGGCCCCTATTTCCAGGAGCCCTGGCTTTACCATCAGACTTCACAGCTTTTTTTTTTTTTTTCGCCCTGTCGCTTCATTTTTTTCATGAAAAAATCCGAGAACCAACAAATTAAATTGGTGTGGCCTTATAATAAGATGCTAAATGTATAGTAGTATACAGCATATTCTTAACATCTAACTTCTGTCAGAAAAATAACAAGAAGCCATAGGCGACAATTCTCCGTGAAGTATTATATATTGCAACAAAAAGAAGTAGCCATTGGCGACAATTCTCTGTGAAGTGTGATAAATCGAACAAAGAAAAATTGTTTAAACGCGCGTCGGCTCAGTCATCTTAAGACGCAACAACCAATCAGAGATGCGAGATGCCGACACGTGACGCGGGATTTGCATATAGTCTAAACAACGGGGAAGGGCGCGCGATGCCCGAAATATTTTTGCGTCAATATTCAGCGCCGTGATTCAAGAGATTAATACCTGGAAACAATTTCTTTTCTTGTTTTGAACGCATTAACATGCATTTACGCTAATCTAGTATGATTCAGGGTTACTTTTTTTTAACCTGCCATGGCCAGATTATCTAAAGATGTGTGTATTGTGTGTACAATCTACAGAAAGAGAAATGTACATCAGGTCCGATCATTCGATTTTCACGTTACGGTTTTTTGGACTCGGTTCATGAACGTATTTTGGTTTGGCTCCTGGAATGTGCGAAAAAAATGACTCCCGGGACTGTCTACAGGGAACACTCGCACATTTGCGGTGTATCAGGACAGCGCGACTGGTCGGCATTAGCGCAGTCCCTGCAATTAGTAACAGTTGCATAAACGGACGAAAACATTTCAAAGAAATGGGGATGTTTCGAAAATAAGCATTTACTCCAATATCAAAACAGCTACGGTAAAAATAAAAAGACGTGCATCATCTCGGACATAATGCCACACCACATGCGAAATTACACAGAAATGCGACGTACGGAAGAATGCGTTTTGGCTGCGAACATCTTCCAAAAAACTTGGCATCTCTTAATGCTTAGGTCACATTTGAAACGGCGCCCGTTCGGCATGTCCTCGGCGTAGACGCCGGCCGGCGTCATGACGCCGAGCGTGCGCCGTACTGTCAGGGTCACAATTAAATGTTCCTTTACGGCTCCCTGTCGGGGCCTGCTTGTGCTCCGGCCGGCGGCTCTCATTAATATTCATAAACTTTTGCGGCCGGTTTCTGTCAGGGACCCGTCCGGTGCCCGGTCAGTCGCCCGTCTTGACCCGTGCGGCGTGTGGTAGGGTGCCGACCGGCTCTTACAGTTCGGCCGGGCAGCTGTCAGGTCCCTGGCGGGTTCCTGGCGGGATCCCGACGGGCTCCTCTCGTGTTTTTGAGCAGGTACATATATAAGCGCTGCACTGCCTGCTACCGTTCACTTCAAGTAAAGAGTACACGTCAAGTAAAGAGTAGACTGACAACTTACAAGCCCGTCTGAGATTGAGATTGGTGACAACCTACATGTAGGTCTTCTGGCATTGGTAGCTGAAGAAGAGAGGCAGGCAGAACTGGTGCGTCGCAAAAGTAACCGAGGGCCTACTTTCGAAAGTACTTCAACAGTGACGCAGGAAGTATTTCAGCAGTGACGCAGGAAGTGTGCCGTGGCAGCTCCTTGCTATTGAGCAATAAAATCACTGAATATCGTTACTTCTGTTGAAATTTCGACTGAAAATAAATGCCAATAACTTCTGATTCCATTTTATTACGAAGGCATATGATGTAACAAGAGATAATGTCAGACACATTCTATTCCTGTTATGATCTGTTTTATGAAGCTTAAGTTGGCAAGAGCTAGAGCCGTGCCGGCTGTTTTCCCTTGCCCTTCGACATTCTGACACACAAATACAAGGTGTAACACACACGTGGTGAACTGTGCGACGTAGTCTGAGGCAGGAGTTTATATATGCTCCCTATAACCCCCTTTTCCTGACCATCTGATGCACTGATCAGCACATGTGACGTCATAACCATAGGCAGGTGCCTGTTCGGCCGCCCGACGGGTCCCCGGCAGTGAGGTTACGGCGTCGCTTCGGCGTATTTAGCCGAACGGGGCCCGAAGTGTTTTTAACTCTGAGTTAAAATCGATTCGGCGACTGCGCGGGGCCTAAAATAGGCCAGCAGCCGTCGGGAAGCCCGCCGGTCTCCGTCCAGGTCCCGTTCGGTAGTGCCAAAAAACACGCCGAACACGCGCCGAGCGGGCCCCTTTCTTGAATTGTGACCTAAGCATAACCATGGGCAAAAACATCTGTAACCACTTATCAAAACCACCCCGTATCTGCATGAAGTTCCACCCCCCCACTGCTATTCCAAACAACGCGTTTTTCTGGACCGTTCCAATTCGCCTCGTAATTGTAGGGGTGCGTTTGCAATATTACATTGACCGCGAAACCAGCAACGGCAAAAATACACATTCGTGCATCAACACGGGAATGCCCGCAGATGGCGTATAAAATTGCGTGCCGATTACACAAAGAGAACCCAGTGTTTTGACTGCGAACATGAAAAATCAGCCGATCACAACACTCCGTCCGGAGGTCCTGACCTCCTTCACGGAGTAATAAAATCATTGTTGTAGTACTTTTCTTTAGAAATAAAACATGAATAGTTTTTGCTGACATTTTACTTATTTTACTACTATTTTTAGTTTATATGGCAGACCCAAAATATTTTTGTGCACCAAATTTTTTAGTGCACCTATTTCCTAAAATGAATTTTGAGCCCTGTAGTTGGTCAGTCCACCAGTTTGTATTTCATTTTGTACATCATGCAATATTCTGGACATCCTGATCAACAGCCGGTGTTCAGGGGGAAGGTTCTGAATGTGTACATGTAGGTACATTCTGAAAATCAACAATGTATGAGTGTAAAATGAGGATGATAATGTTAATGAATGTTATTTCTATTTTACCCGTAGCTCCATTCTTCGTGGACTGCATCTCTGAGCAGGATTTAGATGAGTTGAACATTGAGATCATCAGAAACACCCTGTACAAGGTAAGTCATGAATTTAGATAATCAGCTCTGTATTTGCGAATACATATATCTTTATAAGTGTTCGAAATTCATTTGGGGAATAGGTGCACTGGTGCACCTAACCTAAAAAATTAGGTGCACAAAAATATTTTGTGTGCACCATATAAAATGAAATAAGTATAATGTAAGTGAAATAAGTATAATGTCAGCGAAAATTAATGTTTCAACAATAATTTTATTACTTTTTCTGACAGTTTGATGTTAAGACTACGTTGTATACTTTAACATTTAACATCTTTTTTATTCTTTACATACGAAAACCTGCGAAAATATTTGGGTGCACTGGTGGACCCACAGAAAAGAATTGGGTGCACAGCTCCAAATCTGGGTGCACTAAGGTGCACATGCACCCAGTATTTCCAGCCCTGTTTATCAATGTTTATTCTTTAGTTCAAGCACAGAGGCCCATAGGCCCATATCATTAATTATAAAACACTGGTCACCTCAATTTTGGAATGTCACTTTCCGAATTTTGAGACAGCTATGTTGAAACCCCTGATTTTCAACTTTGTTATTCCTGGATGTACAGTGAACTTTTGCATGCCATTGGAAAGATCATGCTATCTTCAGTACCAGGTTGCTTTTTTTATGGTCAGAATGTACAAATTTATCAAGATATTTGACTTTAAAAATTGCAAGCCTGGCGGTCTAGAACACACACCGTCATGCCCAGCAGCTTAGCCTGGCAGTCCTAAACTTTAGCCCGCGGCCTGAGTTAGCCAGCCCGCATCCAGACCGCATCCAATTAGCCTCATGAACACCCCATGAAAACCACTGAATTAATGAGAATTCACATTTTCACACCTGTGTAATTAACAAGTTTGTGATAAATTCATGAGAGGTCTGGGCTCAATGGTTAGCCCGCGGGCCTGAACAGGCCTGTCGGTCTGTGGACAGGCTGGGCTGATGATTAGGCCTTATGATAGAGAACCTTCAGACTTTAAACACCAAACAGAAAGTGGGAAACAAAAATATGCTTCCAAATTGATGCTTCCAGATTGATGATGGTTTACACTTCACTTCATATCACTTCATATTAATAAACACCCTTCACATTTTCAGCTAATATTTTCAATAAGTGATTACATATTATTGACAAGTATGATGTACAGGTATGAATGATGATAACTTTCATGAATATTCATTTTGAACATTTTCTGCAAAAGCTTCAGAAATTTCTACTGGAAGAATTTTTCCTGTACATGGGAAGAATTGTTCTGCTATTAAGACTGCAAAAAGGTTCTAGTAGAAAGCTTTTGAACATGTTTGAGGAGTGGATTTTGCTCCTGCTGTGCTACCTGGGCTGATACCTGGCGGGGTGTAACATTTGTGTAACGGTTATGACTAAAAAAGATCAGATAGCATCATAAAAGACCCTTGTCTCAGCAAGAACACTTCATATTAGACCTGATTGGTTGTGGTGTTGGAAGCCAACTTTTGAGGACACTTTATGGTCACTTACAGTTTCTGTTTGGCAGGTATGGTCCAATCTGTCCTACTATGGATGGGCAACTCCCCTGGCCAAATCCCTTTGAAACATCATGGGGGTAGAAATTTATCTTTTTTTTTAAAGAATGAAGACTTGGCTAAGTACAGGTCACAACAAAACAAGATGAATGGACATGGTTAACAGATAAACAATAACTCCATGGAAACATTTAAATCAAAAGGAAAACATTTGGAGTTTTAGTGCCATAATCCTGCCATGTATAAGCCTCAGCCGATGTACACTGAAAACATAAAAAGCAAGGAATCGATCCTCAATTTGCAACATGAACTTGCTTTCAGTGCAAGGAGTTGTACAATGCTTTAGGAAATTCATGTTACATTTTCTTTTGTAATTATTCTGTTCCTGCACCTTTGTTATGCGGGTCATACCTCAGGTCACCTATTGTTCCAGGCATGCAAATGACCACTGTCCAATTATCAAATTAGAGAGTCTGGTCGGGCTACCCTGACATGGGTGCACTGGCACTGGCTCAATAGCCCGAAAAAATATCCTATCAGAAAATCTCATGACATTGTAATGACAGTGTCAGATGGCCTGGGTTCACACGCTGAGAACCATGTCTTGGCCAAATCTTTCTATCCCACAACTAGTTTATGTGTAGTGTCATGATTAGATTAGATTTAGATTATGAACAAAAAATTAATGATGAGAATCTTTACAGGATTTGTAATAAGTCTAAATTACAATTTAATTGGAAGTGCTTGCCCAAGGCCTAGAGTCAATTCTATATTGCTATATTCCACATTACAAATTGTAACCATTTCGAAAAAAACACACAATGTTTCTAGATAATTTCAAAGTATGATTTAAAAAAAGTAGAAAATTTTCTAATTGTTACAATATTTGTGAAACATCTCAAATAGGTTATATATATAATGAAAAGAGCTGTTCATTCAGTTTGGATATTTCCCAAAAATTTAGGAACAGAACGTAAAATGCTTGTACAGCGCAGGATGTACATGTATGATAGCAGACCAGGTAGCCTGGGTGTAGGAAACAGGGGCGAGCAGTAGCGCCTATAACCCCCCCACTGTTACATGGGTACCAGACTGCTGCCAGGCTAGCTCTTTGGCTCCTGGAGGGCCAACATTTGCCCAAGGAAATGTCACCATAGAGTGATAATAGACATCCCTCAATAAGCCTATGAATTACATTGTGAAGGCTTGTTATCCCCTAGACACAAAGAACACGGTTTCTTTAAAAATGGGTGACAAAAGGGGAGGGGAGGTGATTATGATAAAATTAACAAGTTCTAACTTCCAAGCAACAACTTGAAGTTAGTCTCCAGTCAGAATCTGATCAATGTTAGACGTGTTTACAACTGGAGAAAGGGGATGCTTTTGCTTCCAAAGCAAAAGCATTCATTGAATTATCAGACTGCATGAATTGTCATGACATACAAAAAATCAGATGATCATTGATCAATTACTAAGGTGACCTTGAGAGAATATTGATGTAATGTAATTTTATAGAACAGGATTCTTCTTCAAGTGAATGAGTCTGAGAAACAAGTAATGACATTATATTTAGTCTCTATGGCCGGACAACTCCTCTGGCCAATGATGTTCCCCTTAGCCGATTGCTACTATTTATTTAGCCTGCAAAGGAGTCTGGTGGAGACTACATTACATGTATATTGGTGTGGCCTAACAGTTGTATATATTTATTATACAGTCATTCCTGCCGAAATTTCTAGGAAGGATTCTATCTGCGGAATCTACAATGTCTTAGTAGGTTTTTCCTGCAGAAATTTCCTGCAGGAAGAAAATTTTCAAAATGAATTTCCATGCATGTTATCATTCATACCTGTCCAATTATCAAATTAGAGAGTCTGGTCGGGCTACTAGTACCCAGACATGGGTGACATGGTCTTTGCAGCTTGCACTGGGTAGCTCAATAGCCCGAAAAAATATCCAATCAGAAAACCTTATGACATTGTATATAATGACAGTGTCAGATGGCCTGGGTTCACACGTTGAGAAGTAGAGCTGTGTACCGGTACGCAGTACCGATACTGTACCGGAAAAATTGATTAGGTACAGGTCCAAAATACCTAATCCCTCAGTACCGGTACTGTACCTAAACAATTTCACACCAATTTTATGCCTATTTGTGACCTCAAATGTGTAAATAGCTGGTTAACAATGGGTCACTGTGTAAGGACAGTGTGTTCATGAAAACAAAAACATCTTTACTTTTACCTATATTTTATCTGAACATTCTCCATAAACAAAAATTAAACCTATATCAATGTTTTTCTTGTTATTACAGGAGTTCAGAAGAGCATATACATTGCTCGAATTTTTCAGGTACAGGTTCAGGTCCGGACCTGTACCTAAACCTGTGTACCTGTACCTGTACCTGTACCTAAAATTTGTTTAGGTACACAGCTCTATTGAGAACCATGTCTTGGCCAAATCTTTCTATCCCTCAACTAGTTTGTAGTATTATGATTAGATTAGATTAGATTTAGATTAGGAACAAGAAATTAATGATGAGAATCCTAGTTTTATTTTTTAAGATAGTCGGTCATCTTTTCAGGCTCCTACTGGGTGACCCAGTACAAGCTGCCCAGATAGGGGTACTGTAATTCGACGTGTAACTCAACAATAGTCCAACTTGATAATTGGACAGTGGCATTTGCATGTCAAGAACAATAGCTAAACTTAGTTTCATCCCGCATAACAATTGTTCCTTGATCAGAATAATTACCTGAGAACTGTTGAACCATGGTTGAACAGAAATGGACTGAGGATTTTATAACTCCATTGCTTGAAAGCAGGTTTAAGTTGCAATGCATGTATTAGGCTTCTTGCTCATATTATATAGTACTAGAATTTTGTCCGGCAAAACTGTCTGTAACATAATTTTCCCAATGTTTCAACTGAACTGAACTGAACTTCAATGACATTCAGGATGCTCATGAGAAAAAATTGTTTCATTTTCTACCCCTAGCTGGTACAGAACGTGTTTGTAAGCTCTTCTTTCTTTTTTGTGGTCTACATGTAGTGGAAAGAGCATGCGAAGCTGAGTGATTGAGTGAGTGAATGAGGTTGAAAGCGGCAAAAATGTACAACACTGTTAACAGATGGGTGTGGATTATGCTCTCCTTCCTTATTTTCTGCTCTGAGAATGAAGTTTTACACATCACTTGGATCAGACCGCGGGCTGAGATGTAGTCCGTGAGGTCTGAATCCTTACCCCACCAGGCTGAAATTGGCACAGACAGTCTGCAAACATCAATCAATTCACGCCTTCCATGCCATTGTTTTGGGCTTTTTGCACCTCTTTGACCAGAAATTCCAGACCGCGGGCTGAAGTTAGGCTGACGGTCTGAATGGTTTTTGAGTAAATCAGCCCGCGGGCTGGGATTCTACACCTGTAGTCTAGTGCCTTTAGACCGAAGGTCCTGTAATTAAAACTTGCGGGCTAGTTGTTAGGCCTGACGGGCTGTTAGGAAAGACCACTGGTCTGCTTGTATTTATTATTAATGATATCTTAAGTTATGAACACTGCAGAACAATAATTTTCATATCACTGTGCTCATTACACAAAGAGCTACACACTGATGTGAAACTTGAATGTTGAAAATCAATTTTTACTTGAGTTTCCAAATGCCTTGTGACTTTCCAAAATTGATGCGACCAGTGTTATAAGTAAAAAAAGGTAAACAGATTTACAAAACGAACTAGTATATATTCATAATATTATACAATGGTTGTTATGTTTACAATGAATTAGTCAATGTCCAGATGAAGATGACAGTTATTGAAACATTAGCTCTTGTTGAACATTAACTCTCACTCACTCACTCACTCACTCACTCACTCACTCACTCACTCACTCACTCACTCACTCACTCACTGCACGGCTTAACGTCCGTTGTTCCCCGTCATGCAAGGGTTGGACGTCGTTTGGTAAATTTTGTTTGTGACATTTGTTTGAAACTGTGTCCACATGTAGGCTTACTTGGAGGCCTTCTATGAGTTCTGCAGTCAGCTGGGTGGGACGACATCTGAGTTCATGTGCAGAGCTCTAGAGGTGAGAGACTTACATGTACATGTATAGTCAGAAGGATTCTTGCTTTACATGAGAGGTGGTGCTGAAGGGCACAATATTCTTACAATTGCAACTGGTGCAATGGCCAAGTGGGTAGAGTGCTCGCCTTGCATTCAGTAGGTCGTGAGTTCGATCATACCAAAGATGTGTTTAAAATGGTACATACTTCTTAGCACTCAGCATTTGGGAAAGAGTTACAACCGTATGGGAGTTAAACACACACCACCGCCAGTGGACTAGCACCGTGCTGTAGTGATTGCACAACTGTGTGGCCCAAGGGCTACAGAACCAAAGATGGGTGCCGCCCTATGCACCAAGTGGTGTGGAAAGGACTTTAACTTAACTGCATTCAACTATGATCTGCAAATTAATGTTCAATATGATGTTCTACCTTTTAGTTAATAGCAGTTGTACTGTGCACCTAGATTATTGCTGGTGCACCCAAATTTTTTGGGCTAGGAGCTCCAGTCCTCCTTAGTCAAAAAGTTAGTCTGGAGCCCTGATAGTAAAAAATCCTGTAAACAAAGGGTAGGAAAAAAGAAATGGGAGAAAATTAGATGGACTACAAATTTCATATTTTGTTGTTTTCAAAGTTTGAAGCGGACCGACGAGCTTTCATTATCACCATTAACTCCTTTGGGACGGAGCTGACCAAAGATGACCGCTCCAAGCTGTACCCTCGCTGTGGCAAGCTTCACCCGGACGGACTGGCCGCACTGGCTCGAGCAGACGACTATGACCAGGTCCGAGCAGTGGCAGAGTACTATGGAGTAAGTGTCCAGTAATAATTGTTTGTTTCCTTGTTATGTAAGGATATGTACATGAGTTGTTACATCTCAGCTAAAGACAAGATGCTAGGGGAACCCCCCCCCCCACACACACCAAAAACAAAATCCATTTTCCATGGAGACAAATCAGAAATATTTCTTGCTTCTTGTTTCAGGAGTACAAGCCACTCTTCGAGGGAGCAGGAAATAATCCTGGGGACAAGACTCTAGAGGACAAGTTCTTTGAGCATGAGGTAACATTAAGGTTACTTTACATGCAGGTTACTTTTTCAAATGTTAAATTGATCCAAGCTTAGACAGGATGTTGTGATTCAGTGTCACTTAAATGACAAGCATGGTAACTTTTAAGGTAGTCTTGTACCTTTTTCAGCCTGAAGTACGTCATGTTGCACAGTGGGTTGTTATCCACTGTGTCAACTGTCAAGGGCACACAAAGGTATTGGAAGACAGAGCCCATCCTTCTTCTTACACTGCCTTCTATCTCCCCTACTAAAGTCAGGTACCCATTTTAGATCTGGGTGAAGTAAGGAAAGTTGTGCAAAGTGCCTTTCCAAAGGGTATGATATTGGCAGGGCTCGAAATACCCGGTGGCGCACTGGCGCGGCGCCACCTGATTTTGCTTGGCGCCACTTATTCCTAAACTCAGGTGGCGCAGCGCGCCACCTATAATTTGCGGTAGGGATCGAGCCGCTAATCGCATGGATCGGGCCCCATTGTCGGCACAATCTTGTGAATTGTCGATGAATTGTCGATCTCGCCATGACGCCGCAAAGAAAACGTTGTCATTGGTAGAAAATCTGACACCCCGCTGGCGTTTCACAACAAAATTTTCTGTAAACAACTCCGACTGTCTTTGTTTACATCGCGAAAGCTCACCGATACAAAGTAAAACTCCCGCCGGCCGGCCGCGCCCGACCACATGGTTGCGGCATGGCGCTAAGTTTTCGGCAGCTCGACGGAAAAATAATCCATCCCCAGAAGAAATGTTACGCATGAAAATAGCAACTACAACTTGTTTTCCTCGTTATATGAGTTTTTGAGGCCGTAAAATGTTTAAAACGGTTGAAATTTGCTTGAAAAAACGGCTCGAAAATTGACGGCGAGAAAGACAACATGGCCGACCTGTTTTCACAATAACAATGGTCAAAGGTCAAGATAGCATCCAAATGTATAGATACATGTAATAAGTACATATTACAGTGCTAAAACGATACTTTAAACGCATGAAAAATATTTTTTCGGCTACAACTGAAATAAAAATTCACTTATATTTTAGTAAGGTTAATTTTCAAACATTACTGAGAAATTTTCCGAATTTATTGGTTTATTGTGTAATATTTTTGTTTGTATGTATGTGCGGTTGGATGCTGTCATTGTAAAGACCCTTTACATATTGGGAGAATCAGATGAGATATTAGAGATTATCACGCTTAGTACCGTGACCCGAGTGTCTCTCAAAAATTGTTTTTGAGTGGAGTTTATAAACATGATCACATTTTTATTTGTTCAGCTGTGTCAATATGTGATTTGTTTGAGAAATAGGATTTGGTTTAGTTTTTAATATATTAATGTCAGTTAACATCTTTGGAATAAATTGCTCCAAGTTCCAGGTAGTAAATACATGTACATTTTGTATCATGTATTTTTCACTTGTTGAACTTGTGGAAGCACCGTTGGCCCCCGGTTAGGGGTCATCCGGGGAACCTATGCCCAATTTTTTTTAAAAATCAACTGGGAGCTAATACCATTTTTCATTAGATTTTGAAGATTTGTCCGGGGGGTATGTTTATTCCGGGGGGTTTGTTTATTTGGCAGATGAGAGTAACATTATCCTTGCGCAAACGAAGAACATGGCGCACGTAACACCACCCGCATAACTTAAAGCCATAAGTGTGCCGCCATGTAGAGGCGTGGCATTCCCACGGCGACAGCCCTGTGATGAAGACATGTAAAGGTGACATTCTTTATTAAAACTGTTTCTTTATTAAAATTGTTTGAGAGCTTTTGTGTTCTTTACATTACTTTATTTTATAACATAAGACTTAAGTAGTTAACTAGAAGAAAACGCGTAATAGATATAAGTAGCAGATTTGAAGAAAATGATAACTTGGAAGTGTTGCCACTTGAATACTGATGGCGCCACCTGGCTTTTGACTCAGGTGGCAACATGCCCCACCTGGCTGAAAAAAGTATTTCGAGCCCTGTATTGGTGACATAACAGGAATTAATATAACTGAGTCCAACACCCTGCCGTTACACCACAATCACAACACAGGTCTAGACTACAGATCTAAACCCAGGATGTTCTCTGTTGGCCCATGCAGGTTGAACTGAACGTGAACGCCTTCATGCAGCAGTTCCACTTCGGTGTTTTCTACGCCTACATTAAACTCAAGGAGCAGGAATGTCGTAACATCGTGTGGATTGCCGAGTGTGTGGCTCAGAGACACAGGACCAAGATCGACAACTACATCCCCATCCTGTAGATACAAACACAAGGGCTGCACGTACAATGTAGCACTACCTAAATGTAACATCAAGTGCAGGCACATATACCGGTACAGACGTTTAGGTACAGTGTGTGTACCTGAACAATTCTATTCATACTAAACTGGACCATTTGGATTTTTTCATGTTGAATTCCTCGTAACCTACAATAGTCTAGCTGTCCCTGAAAAATCTGTTGATCTCTGTGCAGCCCTACCAAACATACTTATCAAGACTAAAACACACACTCAACTGAATGGAGATGGGGTTGTGATAAACTTGTCTTGGGCTGAGACTGGATCTGCATGTATGGTCAAAAGTCCTTGTGAAAATAACAGCAGCTACATCCTGCTGCTAAAATTGTAGTTTGTCCATTGAAAACTATGGTAAGTCACTTGTATTAAGAGGGACATACTGTACATGTATCTCATTGTGATGTAAGTGAAGTCAGGTGTATAGCATAAATACATTGTAAGTCCTTGTAATTTGTAATGTGTGATATTGAAACCTCTTACATGACATTGTATATTTGGTTCAAACCTTTTATTTTGATCACAACTGCTTTGTTGTTGACCTGATGATTGATGTTATTGGACAGTCTCACAAGGATGTCTTTCTTCTGAATGCTTCTGTAGAAAGCAATTTCAGACACAAGAATGACCCTCTGCAAGACACTAGCAGAGAAGAAATGTGTGACTGTACCATTGAGAGGAGTCTTTATTTCTATTATCTATTAGTAAGAAAAGAGGAAGTAAGAAAAGGTACTACATGTATGGTATATAATGAGTGTATATTAATAATTAATAACTGATTAATAATTATTATGATAACGGTGTGAAATTAGAATGAACAGCTCTAGAATGTAAATGTTTTCCTAATGGTAGTTGTGAATCTGGGGTAAGCAGCATGTGGACATGATACATTCCTATAGTATAGGGACAAGGCTTTGAATTGACTCTTACAAGTCCTACATTGTACATGTAGGCTTTCAACAGGTTCAGACAAGACAATGAAGATAACTTGTTCCTCAGTGAATATCACTAGACATTGTACAGGTATGTTGGAAATGGTCCTAATTTAAAGACTATTTAAAACATCCAAAGTTATTTCGGGGCAGCAAAACTGGGTTTTGAAAGTCAATTTTCTGGTAATCCTTTTGATGTGGTAAGTAGAATCAGAAATGCCAGAAAATGGTTGCCTAATGTTTTGTATTGTAGGCCGGTTCTAGCTACATGTACATGTATTCTAGCTACATGTACATGTACTAAAAAATAAAGGGACTCCTCACATAGCCTGTTTTGCAGCTGTTTCAAACTCTTAAGTATGAAAATGTACGAAGAATTGGCAGTAGATATCAGATAGAGATTTCCTCGTCAAGAATATTTTCTGTTTTGCCACCCTGAAATAAGCCTTTAGTTAGTATCAGCCTTTTTAGTTTTCGTCCGATCCTCACGATCCACAACCTGTAACACATCATGGGGAGGGACAAAAGCTGAAAAGGCTGACACTAAGGCTAACCCTGAGATGCCGTAGAGCACAAAAATTTGACACTGATTGAAATCCATATACACACACACACACTTAAATGCAATCTTTCGAATAGCTAAAAATGTAATGTGCTACATTGTACATGACTTTGTGTAGTTCAATTTACTGTGTCAAGGGTGTACTCATATCATTTATCTCTCTGGTCAGGTATTACATGTAAGTATAATGTTAAATGAACATTAAGTTTTATTTAATGTACCCATGTTCATGATTGTACAAAATGTAAAACTGTTAATATGTATGTTCCAGAATGATGTTAATGCAACACAGAAGTCTATACGTCAATGTAGTGGAGGACTGGAAAAGGAATGAAGAAAGATGTCGATGCTTCATGCTGAAAAAAACAAGAGTTAACAAGAAAGACTGACATTGCAGGATATCGATGGCTTCACCACATTTTACTGAAAACTGTTGATTTTCCAGATAAAAAGAAGCGTTTATGCCCTGCATTCCAATGCTGGAGCAGGAAAGCTTGACATACCTACCAAAACTCCATGATAACACACTGCTATAATTTTCTACAACACAGCCAAAAAGCCCACATAAAACCATTCTAAAAGCCTGTATCACAAAAAAAGAAAAAAAAACACCTTGGGGTATTTGCCCACTCTACCTTCATGCCAAATTTCATGTTATTTGGCCCAAAAATGAAGGAGTTGAATCGATTTAAAGAAATGGCAGGAGGAGGAGAAGAAACATGAGGAAAAACTTTGTCTTCACCACAGTGGTGAAGCCATAAAAAGTAGAAAATGCTTTGTCCTAATCTCACGCCATCCAAAACTGTTACAGTTTTACCATATAACTAGTCTTACATGAATTGTGTCACAAGGAAATAAAGATAATACATGTAGTTAAGAAGTATCTTGCAAAGTGTTTAATTACTATATAGTAACTATCATATGATGATTATGCTTATTCCATCATGTTTTGGTTAGAACCCTTTTCACCTAGTTACCCTCACAATTTTCTGAACCCATTTATTTTTAATCTAATTTATTATTTTTTAAATTTTGTTTTGGGTCTAATGGCCCACAATAGTTTTCAATGCTATAATAATTGTAAATGTGAGAAACTTCAATTCTTTTCAAAGGTACACAAACTTAAGGTACTTTTTTTAAAAAATTCATAACGGACACTTGAATTGAAACACTTAAAGCAATAATAAACTTTGTGTAAATGCTAATTTATTCAGAATGTATGTACAGTTGAACAAAAACAACATAATTATTTCAAAATTAATAATTATCATTCATCTAATGCTTCCAGGTGTACAGTATAGATATGACATCTTTTGAATGGAACAATTGCAATCAAATCAAAATGAGTGTAATTTATTATATATCAACATGAGTGTGAGAACAGAATATACTACCTGTCTGCTCAAAAGGTACAGAGAATAGTCTGGATGCCATGCAGCCTCTTTAGGTTCTCTCAGTCATTTCCTGTCTAAAAAGCTCTGCACAAATCACATATTTTATTCATCATGCAATACTGAACAGTAATTACCTTCGACTAATATTATGTTTTTGGTAGCATTTGTGTATGTGTGTCTGAAAACATAACCTTCTTGGCCAAGATAATTAACAAGATTGGTTGTTTAAAGTTAAAACTTTTGGTCCAACACAAAAAATTCTCTCACCTAGAGCTTTCGACCTCAGTAGACTGACCCAACACTGGGTCAAAGGTATCTGGTAGACGATGTCACACTTCAAAGAAGCCACATGACAAGCTTCAAAGAAGCCACATGACAAGCTTCACTGGGTCAAAGGTATCTGGTAGACGATGTCACACTTCAAAGAAGCCACATGACAAGCTTCACTGGGTCAGTCTACTGAGGAAGACCAGAGTGTCTGGTCGAAAGCTCTAGGTGAGAGAACTTTTGTGTTGGACATGTAACTACCAACACAGATGAACTTTCATGATAGAACAAGATTGGTTGTTGGCCCGTGCATGATCAGGTCACAGTTGCTGGTTGTTACAGGACATCTGCCGGGGAGATGTGATGTCGTAGACTTCTCACCCTGGGGACAATACAAGGAAGGATTGGGTTATTTGAGGTGGTATTGCTCCCTATAATGTTGGTTATCAATATTGGGGTTTCCTTAAATACATTAACCAATTAAGTCTCTCACCTTGGTTATGTTTGGGTGTCTGTCAGATCTAGACACCTTCCTCAGCAAGTAGGTACTGTAGCTGAAGTACATGTAGGTACTAGCCTTTTGTTTGTTTGTTTCGCATAACCGGTAAACCGCCTTCAGGCGTAACACACCAGTTTTGTACATGTGCGCACATGTACAAGCTGCGTAAGACCGGACTGTAAGTTTTGAACCACTCACACCGGGAAGATCCCCTACTCTTTTCGATAAGTGCGGTGGGTTCTTTAACGTGCATGGGGTGTGGCTCTCCCAAACACGGGACCTCCATTTAACGTCCTATCCGAGGGACGTCCCTAACCGAAGCTAGGTACTCATTTTCACCTGAGTGAAGTGAGGAAAGTCGTGTAAAGTGCCTTTCCCAAGGGCACAAGATCGGTGACATGGGCAGGGTTCGAACCCACAACCTCTCTGGTGTGAGCCGAACGCGCTACCGACTGCGCCACACGACCCCACCACTTTTGACACAATCCCAGAAATTTTGTATACCCCATCTTCCCAGTTCATCACTGGGGTTGACTTTCATATCCAGACAGCTAACTTACATGTACATGTAGGTAAGAGAAGTACTGGTTGTGTATAATTACCTGCATGAAAAATGGAGGTATTGTTTTTGGCGTGTGTGTGACTGTGTGTTTGTGTTTCCGCACATTTGTAGTCAGCATAACTTCAGAACGCCTTTATGGATTGTGATGATATTTGGTATGCTGGTAAGTCTTAGGAAGACAAAGGTCAAATACGGGCCTCCTGGTGGATGACCTTGGTACTGCAGCAGAACTTCCAGTTTTTGTATCTTTTGTCCTGAACATGTTATGGTCTTGACTTTTTGGTGACAGATAGCTTTTTCTGGAACTGCAGAGGACTTTCTGGCAAAATCTTTAAAAGCTAATAAGTCCAGATAGGGACAACATATTTTCATCATTTTTGGTGTGTAGCTAAGAGAGAGTTGTACATAATTAAATGCAAATGAGGGCTTAGTTTGCATAATTAAGGAGGAAATTCTATAATTACAGTGCTTTATATAATAGTACTTTAATTTTTATGCATGTAATCTATTTAATCTGTGGCAGGCAGAACATCAACAGATACTAATTATGCAAATGATGACCTAATTTGCATAATTAATGTGAAAATTCTGTGACTCCTTATTGGTGAATGATGGGAATTTTATACCTTGTAACTCGGAGTTACTTAAAGGTTTACACCACTATGTATATATTATTTTAATGTTGAGGTCATTAGCATAAATAATGAGATGTTGAATTTATTACAAACAGTAAATATGAAAATTAGGCCTTCATTTGCATAACCACTTTGAATGTTCTTCACAATTACACATGCCACCTGTTCGAATAATCATATATTATAGAAGGTAGCAGATTTATAGCATTTCCTCATTGATTATGCTAATTAGCTGCTGATTTGCATAACTAACATTTTGATATGTCAAGCAGTTTTTAAGCTACCCACATCATAATGATCTGTCGATCGGTTCTTGAGTTATCCTTCGAATATTTTTCAACGAATGCTTCTGCAGTTCCAGAACAAGCTGCTAGGGGGCCCAAGCTCATGTCACTTTCTCCTCAGCCCTAGAGCTACCTACCATCCAAATTTAGTGACCCTACCATGTCCATATCATGAGATATCAAAACCGGAAGTTCAGCTGCAGTACCATAACAAGCCACCAGGGGGTTCAAAATCTAATCAGTTTGAGGTCTCATCAAGACCTACCCACCTAACAAATATAAAGACAATCCATCTTAGCCTTCTTGAGTTATCGTGTTCACACACACAAACGCCAACGAAAACATAACCTTCTAAAATCTCCATGCACATGCAGCTCATACCAGAATCATGCATGATGTGGCTGTGTACTTTACCTGTGAAGGAGCTGATCATTTAACAAGTCACTCTTAACCTCATCTTCACTCTCTTCACTGCTCTCTCTTTCACTCCCACTGTCTTCTCCTTCATCCTTCCATCTTCTTTTCTTCTTGCTCTTCTTTTTGTGTTTCTGCTTGGACTTTTTACTCTGAAGGCAAATTCAAAACAAATTTCACAGTAAGCACTCCATATACTCCTGTAACCTCTGGTAATAAAATCTAGCTAGGTACAAATGTACTCATTTTCACCTGAAATTGAGTGAAGTGAGGAAAGTCGTGTGAAGTGCCTTTCCAAAGGGTACAATGTTACTATCAATCAATGACATGGCAGGATTTGAACCCAAGACCTCTAGGTCTCTACCATTTTGGCACATGACCCCACAGTCTCAGTTGTGATTGCCAAAAGTGAACATAGCGTGGAATCAATCTTCTACCTCCGGTCTGCTCCTCTGATGCGCCCCCCCCCCACACACACATGAATAGTCTATCACCTGTTCATGAAAGTATTTGAAATGTCAATGAAGGTTAGACATCTAGGTATTAATGAGATACACCAGAAAAACAGTAACTGTTACTTAAAAGCAAAATCTATCCAGTTTCCTTAACTAACATTTGTTTTGTGAAAATGTCTCACATTTGAATATTCACCAGGAATGGTGAGAGCAAAATAGGGATACAACACACTCAGAGCTCATATTCAGCACAATAATCATTTTTCTTAAGTTTATTCCTGGCTCTACAATCTGATATACAGGGATGCATGTATTTAAAGGCAATATGTAAGTGAGTCATCAGCCATGCTCCCCTGGGAATACATGCACGTATCTTGACCCTCTGCAAAGCTGTTTCCTGCTTAGCTTAGAATTTTTGTCCTTCAAAGATTAAGCATTGGGCACATTTCTGTCATCATGAACTGTTACAATGAAATTCTGTCAAATGATGGAAAGGCAGATGCTGGATACATTGTGTAGCTCATGATGATTATTTTAATCTTCAGTGAACTGACAACAGCAAGTCCACCATTAATCAAACCTTAATCTTTACCTCTTATCTGACATTACAAAAAGAAATTTAACAATCTATCATGAGTGTGAATGCAATTTGGTACTGTACCTTTTTGTCCTTCTTGTGTTTATGTTTGTGTTTGTCCCTATGGCTGTGTTTGTGTCTGTGGGAGGAAGAGTCTGCTGTAGCTGGTCTGTGACTGTGAGGACTTGTAGAAACTCCTCCTGAAACTGTACAAAGTTGACAGTCAACACTGCCCGACCTGGTAGACCTAATCAACAACAGTGTTACAAATGTAGCACCACAAATGAGCAGTAAGACAAGCACACTGTACTGTTCAAAATGTTTTAAGTTATGTACATTTGTAACTGTAAATCATACTCTACTTCAGGCCTAAAGGCTGCCACTGTATTATCTGTAATGACGATCATGTAAGATAAACCATTCATTCTATTCAGCTATTCTATCTTATTCTGAATCAGCAGCTGTTCTATTCTATTTTATTCTTACTATAATAATTATAATACTATATTCTATTCTTATTCACACACAATCATATCATATTTTGTACTTTCAGGGTTTAATAGGGTTGTCTACAAAATTTTATTGACAACCCTGGCATTCAGAACACACTGACAGTACAAAATGCAATTTGACATTGCATATTATGTAACACTCAGGTATCAGAAAAAGAGAAGGGTTTGGTGCAAATGTTCAACACTGATGATAATGGATGCAGCCAAATATGATCAGAAAATGTTGTATTTTTGTTTCAAACAATAACCGCTGATGAAAGCCTACCTGTTGGCGGCAGTGCTGGTCCATACAACTGTGCCTGTTCTACAGTCACCTGTGCCTGTTCTACAGTCACCTGTGCCTGTTCTACAGTCACCTGTGCTTCACTTCTGTCCCACCTGCTGACATGGCTGTCTGGACTTGTCACTACTGACAACTTGGGATCTACATGTAGATAAAGAAAATATCTATAATCTCTGGAAATAATTTCATCAATGTACAATGCAGGTAGAACATTGGATATTGAGATTTCCTTCATTATTCACAATCAGTGGGCTGAGTGAGGAAACTTGTGAAAAGTGCCTTTCCCAAGGGCACAACATCATTGACATGACAGGGTTCGAACCAAGGACCTCTAGGTTCTGGGCTGAACACCCTGCTGTTATGCCACACAACAACATAGACTTTACATTATTCCTGACTTATGTCTTCAATCAAATACTCAGACACAGTACAACCACTGAACTGCTGAAAATATGAAACCTGCTACCACCTACAAAATTAATGTGTCCATAATATCACCAGGGTCCATAATATCGCCACCTTGAGAAATAGTGTGCTTTAAGATATTTTTACTGCAACATACTTTTGGTATGCACTCCTGCACACCTCAAATGTACATACCTAGGGGATGTTACATGTGTACCTGAGTCAAGTTTTCCTGTATCAGCTGGATCAGCAGTAATATTGTCCAGTGGTTTGTCTCTATCCTGCTCCAAGGCACCATCACTGTTGTCTACTTCCACTGTCTTCCCTCCTAGCCCCCTGGCTTCACCTCCTCCCCCCTTGCTTTCTCCTCCTTCCCCCCTTGTGTCATCCATGTCCTCCCCCTCCTCACTGTCGTCCGACCCCCCTGAGCTGTCAGATGAAGACTGGAAGATGGCCTTGAACAAGTCTAACGGTGGCTTCTCCTTGTCTGTGTCCTGGAACAGTAAAATGAATGAATGAACTTTATTGCTCAACAATTGTACATGGTACAATGTACAAAGTCATGTATCGCATCAATAACAATGTGATCAATACAATCAAGTCTATTCTAATATACTAGTAAGGGACTACTTTACTACAGGAATATGGACGTAAATGGCGTATGACATGATGTGAGCTAGGCGTTACTATCTGTTACAATACTTCCTCTTTTTTGTAATGCGCTGCATATATATTGGCCTAAGTACGTAGATATGGAGTTGGCAGTCATACAACAAGACTTCAGAGAAGTCATACCTCCAGGAAATATTTCATGAATTTGGTTTTTTTTTTCTCATTTTACATTTAGTACATTTACCATAATAATAAATTTGAAAAATAATGTAACAGTAACTGTAACAGTTGTAATTATACAGCATAATCTGGTTTGATTGCAATTGGTTATCTTCTCCACTCATTTCTATATTATGTGTATGAAAGTCCTATCCTTTGAAAGAAGTTCATTTTTACATTTTATCATTGATCATTATGTATGACCTCCATATTATTTTTTTTGCATAATTTGTGCATTATGAGTGGTGTTCTAACCTACTATTACCTGCAATGGTCAATTTCAAGTCATGTGATTATCGTAGTTTTGAGTAGGTTGTGTGGTGATATTAAAGAGCTGAACTGATGAGAATGTTTAAAGTTATGATTTTTGATTGTCATGGTGAATAAGACTGTTGGTTCCAGCTTGGGCAGCCTTCTGAGAACCCTTCATTGTAATAAAGTCTGAATCTGTACCTGTATAGCCAGTATAACCACCCCTCAATGTAACACACCAGCCTCTGTATCTGTATCTGTATACAATGTAGCAGGTGTAACTGCCCTTCAGTGTAGCCCTCCAGCTTCTGTACATGTATCTGTATAGCCAGTATAACGGCCCTCATCCCCTCTGCGTAACACACCAGCTTCGCAGGCAGGGCATTGCATGGATGTGTAATGTAATCAAAGAAAATACAATAGCCATAATGTACTCACCAGTTTCTTACTAACATCAGGATCTTCTTGCATCCTAGTATCCTGTTCTGATGTACTTGGTACATCTTCAGACTCACACAGATAACTGAGAACACCTCTCTCCTCGCCACCAGCAACTTTACTGGTGTTCTTACTGACTTCCTGTGACTCTGGTGTTTCCTTGCCTTTAGAGTTTGTTGTGGTGGAAGATGAATGTTCTGAAGACCTGGACTCTACTGGCATGTTTAAGAAGTTGGCAAAAGTGTATTTTTCCTTCTTCAGTGTGCATAGACCAACAACTGTCGACCTGTTTGAGACAAGAACAATGATTGGCAAACATTTGCCAGATGGACATGCCAATTCCTTTCAAGAAATTGAACAAGTCTCTTTAGGACTGATTACCAGTATTTTTTGCATTTTAATTATCATGACACATGTCATGCAGTATTGTAATTGTACAGGCATTAGCTAAAAAATTGAGGGTTTTCAATGTCATTTCTTCTGAAAATTATCAATTTCTGAAAAGAATGTGTTATAGCAGCTGCTGCAGTGTAAATTGACTATAATTCAGACTTTTGATTGTCTGGCACATACAAAGTTATGAAAAACTTAAACTGTTCTCCAACTCAAAATTTGACTCACCAGAAATTTTCGACTGAATCACTCAGTCTTCCTCAGCTATCTGACCCAAATGCTGTGGACACGTGATTTTTCCCACGTGTGACGTCAGCAAAGGGTCAAAGGTTGGCTGAAGTCGATATCGCCCCCCGTCCCGGTTGAGCGATGGTTGAAGGGCCCTGATGTATATGGCCTCTTTTATTCCTCTCTTGAAGTAATCCTGTTCGGTATCCAAGATTCTGACCCCCTCTAGAATCCACTGTGTGTCCCGGTGGATGTGCTGTGACACCTCAGATGCAACAGAACTGACTGTAGAATATTGACTTCAGACAACCTTTGACCCTTTGCTGACGTCACACGTGGGAAAAATCACATGTCCACAGCACTTGGGTCAGATAGCTGAGGAAGACTGAGTGATTCAGTCGAATATTTCTGGTGAGTCAAATTTTGAGTTGGAGAACAGTTTAAGTTTTTCATAATGTAATTTACCAACTCAGATGAACTTTCATACTAGTAAAGTTGTTGACAATAGAGGAAATACTGACTCTGGGTAAGGGTTTGGGACGTTAAACCTCCTACAGAGCAGCCTGTCAGGGTGCCATTCCATCCTGTCTCTGGTCAGACGTCCAAACATCTTCATTCCTGCAGCTTTAGCCTTGTCTGATACTTCCTCCTGGAGATTAACACAACACTTTGTTCAATGTGGCGCCTAACATCAGCTGTAATGGCTGTCTAGCTACACTGTAGCTACTGTATTGTACATTATAATCAATTCTGAATAAATGTCATAGATACACATTTTACATGTTAAAAGGAAAAGTTACAGTAAAAAGGTGGTCCCATAGCCATTTTGAGACCAAAGAGCCAGTGGGTTGTCATGCACTGTGTCAAATTTAGGCAGTGCAGTACTGGAATTCATATCCCAACACTCTACTTCCACTGCCTTTTACCTCCCCTAAAAAAGTAAGGTGCCCATTTTTACACTTGGGTGGAGTGAGAAAAGTCATGCAATTAATGTTCAAAGGATTTTGAATGTCGTCATAAATTTTCGGGGAAGCAAATATCCTTTCAAGTAACTCGCAGTGGGCTGGTCCAATTTCTGTGGGTCTCAGTACATGATTTGCTTTAATCGTGGTCCAGATGGTGCACATCGTTTTTGTTTTATAGTAATTATATTGTATCTGTGTTTTGGTGTGTCGATTATCAAATATTAGGACGAAGGGTCCAAAATATGGGTGTACACATATAGGCATGTGAAGGTGTCGCTGACATGTTTATTAGACTACAGCTGTTATCATTCACTAGTTAGTGTTCCAGACGACACTATACTCATCTCTGACCTGTAGGGAGGGTGGTTGGTCCGTGGTCGGCTGGTCCAGGTGTTTCCCCCGGGTGAAGCGACTTGCCATCATCCCGTGGAGCGGCTGGTACAGCTGGTACGCACGCACAAACTCTTCTCTCTCTCTGTCTCTCTCCCATTCTGTCATTCCTGAGGGAGCTGCAGGCATAGGGTCTGAAAACAAGTTATTCTCTCTCTCTCATTCTGTCATTCCTGAGGGAGCTGCAGGCATGGGGTCTGAAAACAACAGTTATTCTCTCTCTCTCTCTCTTTCTGTCATTTCTGAGGGTGCTGCTAGCATTGGGTCTAAAAACAATAAATTTTAAGGCTATATACATGTAGTACTTACTACTAAAAATATATACAACACTATTTCAGCCATTAGGTGATTCAGCCTGTGGGAGGGCTGGGATGGAGGGTGATGCCGAATACACCGTTCTGTCCTGAGAAAACACACATTTCGATGCGAAATGTGCCAAAATTTAACGTAACAGTCAAAAAAAATTTTGGTTACATCAATTCCAATCCGCAAACCCAGTAGTCAAATTTCTGAAAGCTGCACCTTCAGTACAGGTGAAACAGATTCAAACTACTCTATGGAACTTTTCAAAGCCCTATGTGATGACCAAATAGTACCCCATGTGTTCACGAAAGTTTACCTTTGGCTCCAGACTTTGCTGCTCTGATGTACTCTTCATATCTTTGCTGTTTGGCAGCATCACGTGAGAACGGTCTAAAGTTACCCATGTTACCTGTGGTCGTGGTGGCTGACTGTAAGAAACAGATGAAGGGGATTGATTAAATATATAGTGGTGTGCACCTAAACTCACATTTTACATGTAGGTCCAGGTCAGGATTCAAGTCCAGAGGTTTAGGTTCAGGTCCGGACTTATAGATCCAGATCATATACAAAATACGGAGCGGACTTCTCAGTTAATGGAAAAATGGTGCATCTTGAGTACTGCAAAAGTTTGTAGTAAGCACTGCATTGCCAGGGTTTACATGTAGAAGCAAGATATGTTGTTTGTGGGGTACATCTGGACAAAACTGTGGGCACATAATTTACGGAGGCTAACACTTGACAATGCCCAATTGCAATGTTTTCTTCATTTTGCAGTGCAAATTTTTGACTAATGGCGGATTTCAGGTGGTGAAGAACAAAAGGGGGAATGTGATAATTATGATTTTTGATTTGTAAGTCCAGAACTATTTCCAGACATTCAGGTTTTTTGGACTTGAACCTAAACATTTTTACAAGTCGTACACAGGTACACAGCAATAATGTAAAGAGGGATGTAAAGACTCATGTTCTAGCCAGCTGTTTTCCATTATTCAAATTCTCTCTACATGGCATGCAGGTTATGTACAGTTACTATTGCAGCATTTTTATGAAAGTTAGATGTTGAAGTTGATCAAATTAATGTGCTTCACATGGTCAATATTTTTTTACAATGTATTACATGTATGTACATTAAATATCAAGTTAAACTTCTCACCGTTTTGACCTTGAAGTAATGAAATGAATTTAAAGCCATATAATATATTATATTATATTTCAATAAACTAATTATATTAAGGCTACACTAATTTAATAATTGATTCTTGGATTTGCCTACTTCATTTTTTCTGATTTGCCAACAAAAAAAAAGATTCACACATTCAACAGGTTTTGAATTTTCAACATTTGAAAAGCAACATCAAATTCATGTAGCTTAAAATACTACATGTATTTGTAGATTTCTCATACCTGTCTGTCGGTGTGTACTGCAGGTGGTGCAGGTGGAGCAGGTGCAACAGGTGGAACAGGTGCAGCAGCTGTCACATTTTTGTGCAGCTGCACAGTCTTTATTGCCTCTTTATCAGCAGTAGAGATCAAGTCAAACACTGACATCTGTTCTGTTTTTGAATTGAAAAATTCAATTATTTCTCCAACCAAAAGAACCCATTACTGATGTGCGTAACATATCAATTATAGTATTTTGTAATTATGCAGCCAGGATAGATTTAGTTAATTTTGTAGTATTGCTTATTTACTGCCATACATTATATACCAGTTACAATTGTCAAGCAATAAAGTTCATCCATTCATATCATCAGATGGCCTAGCAAATATCATAAATCATAATTTGGTAGTCACAGTGGTAAGTTAATTGATACCATAAGGCCACACCGATTTAATTTTATGGATGACATCCTCTGAAAACCCCCAAACTAGTGCACGCGGGCGAATAAAAAAAATTCCGGCCAAAAATAGAAATGCTACTAAACCACAGGAATACAAAGCTGGTATTGTGAATTTGCAGCAGTATGAATAGCGACGTATACAACAAGCCAACACATGCTGCCTTTTGCGTAAATTTATAAATCGGCACTGTACGTATGTACTGAGTTCTTGAGTCGTGTAGCTTTGGTGCCATCGGTGCCATCCTCCAGGGTTACCACCGGCTCCGTATTGTTGCTAACTACCATGGACTATTGAGGACATGATCTTTTTTCATATTGTTATCAATCAGAGGAACTGCGGAACCACATGGTTAACAAAATTATAGTAATTTACTGTTTTTTTATCATATTAAACAACAATCATTATGAACGGCGCGAAATACTGCCTACATTATACATACCATTAAATTTTGTACATACCACTAGTCTTCAGTTGGTGAAAACTTTTATTCGAAGGTTACAATAACGACATGGCCTTATGACAGCATATACACCATGCAGCAGGTCATTGAGCCTTAACTGACTTTTGCATTTCATAGTGAAACAAAAAATAAATCATTCTACAGGAAGCTTAATTTTTCCTAAATGAATTTTCAAAGTTTGAAAACACATGTACTGTCCTATCATGAAAGTTCATCTGTGTTGGTAGTTACATGTTTAAAGTTAAAACTTTTGGTCCGGCACAAAAAATTATCTCACCTAGAGCTTTTGATCAGTCACTCTGGTCTTCCTCAGTAGACCTTAGAAGAACATACACGGCCTACATGTAGCTCTGCCAGTTCAGAGGTGTCTCAACACATCCACATAGAGTCACCTGGACACTTTGTTTCACTGGACACTGTAAGGATTTTGGACACTGAACAAGACTATTTCTTGAGAGGGGTGAAGGAAGTCATATACATCAGGGCCCATCACCCTACATTGAACCGCGACGGGGGCCGACATCG